AATTAAGAAACCTTTCAATTTGGGACAGTTTTTTGATTGGTTACCCGTCAAAAACGCAAGGCATTATGGGGATGTGAAATTCGAGAAAATGATGATAAGAGAGGAATCATATAACACTACACTGAACTTGCATATTGATTTCTAGAGATACGAATACACGGACGGACGGACGACAGACAAACAGACAAACAGATAGGCAAAAGGATGGGCAAACGGCTGTGAGACAGACAGACAGACAGACACACACACAGAGTAACACACAGACAGATATACTCACAGACAGAAAGAAACAAACAGACACACACACACAGACAGACAGAAAGAAACAAAAAGACAGACATTCAGACAGATATATAAATAGGCAGACATACAGACAAACAAAAAGACAGAACAAAACAGATAGACTTAGACCGAAAATTTTAAAACTAAATCAACAAGTTTCCTTACCTTCTGATAAGTACACCAACAATACAAATAAATAGCACACCAGCCAATGACACACCGATAATAACGTAAATATTCAACTTTTCTGGCTTTTTCTTGATCGAAGGTTCTTCTCTCTTATTCAAAGTAATGCTACTAATGGTTCTATTCAAAGATTTCTCGATGTCCGCCTTAGCAGATTGTACGATTTCCAACAGTGTTCCACCCTCTATGGAATCTCCTGATGTAGAAACGACTTCAGGAGAAAACTCCACGTAGAAAGCAATGACAGCAGCGAGATCACGTGATCTAAGGTTGATTTGCTTTGGAAAATCGGGCAGCAAATGAACCTGGTCAGCGGTGTAGAGAATGTAGTCTAAAGCTCGTCTGAAAAATAATCCCCAGGGAAAACCTCATTCAAGAACTGAGTAGTATATCTTTCTTTATGCCTAGCAACCTCTCTCCCTTGCATGTGGAGGAAGCTCTCTCATCTTTTTAAGTACTAAATATGTCTTATATTAAACGAGAATGGCTAGCTACTGATACATAGAGGTAAAAAGAGGGTACCTTTCGCGTTTTCGGTCTTCTTTACATTCTTCATCTTTAGAAGCACAGAATGAAGTCACAGCCTTAGCAACTGAACGTTTGAATTTGTTTTCGACCTGTTCGTTCCACTGGAAAACAACACAATAAGGAAAATTAGACGAAAAAATAAGTAAAACGATAGTGGTTCAAGCGATGTAAACAAGAGAACAAGTCAGAGTTCGTACAATTTTATCATAGGTTAATACGCCATGGCAGTACCTCGTTCCCATATAACCACGGAAACCCTTAACAGCTTAAACCTCTTTCCTTTACTGTATTTTCTATAGTTTTCTATTAGTTGCTGTGGTGCTGTTGCTGTCGTGTGGCTTTCTAAAATTTCATAGCTGAGGCGCACAGCTTCAAACCAACCGACAATCTTTAGGTTAAATATACTTACTTCAGCGATGTTTAGCTCTTTCACCGTTATTTGAACTGCATTGTCTTTCTGGCTGTCAGTTGGGGGTTTTGGTGTTGGAGCGGGTCCGGGCGAGGGGGTTGTAGCTCCAGGTAGAATTTCTGACATATATTATACAAAAAAAGTTAGTCGTACTACTAGCCCATGTTGTAAAAAGGATATTACAAACTACGGCACACGGCATGGTCACGGCACGGTCACGGATTGATTAGGCGTTGAACGCTCAGCCAATGAAAGAGCACCAATATTCCTTGTCAAATCAAAATTGTTGCAAAGTTAAGCCCGCGAGATTTTTGCCCCCAAGATATTTACAGCCATACCAAGGCTGAGTAAGAAGGCAAATCAAGCTAGTTATACCACGTCTTATCCTTTGTTCAACCATACCTATACAGGTTTCTTCTTTCTTTCCTCTTCACGTTTCCAAAACAATAGTTTAAAAAACAACATCTAGGGTGCTCGAGGTCAGGCGAGTCAGTGCATCATTTATTCACAGATCGAGCACACCTTTTCCATTACATGGTGTTTAAGTTATTCATGTCATTCTCATAATTTATGCTTCATACATTGACGCAGATCAAATTATTATCCTAGTTTACACGAGTTTTCTTCCATACCTCTACACGTGTTGTTTGTCGTCAAGTACAACCCGGGCCCACAGACACATTTGTACGAGCCAGCGGTATTCAGACAGATTAGTGAAGGATCT